GCACGGATCAGCGATCCACTTGAAAAGATGGTCTTGAGCAGAGGTTCCCAAACTGTTTCATATCAACAACCCCCACAATAGATTCACATTAGACCACAGACCCCAGTTTGAGAGCATTCTGTCTTAATGAATCCCCTCTACGTATTTATTTATTTTTAGGTGTAAAGATAAAGTCTTTAGTCAAAGTCAATCAATGATCAAACTGGGATCACTATGAATTACTTTAATCAAAACGGCCAACTATGTTTCTTCCCTTGTGGTTCCAACTTCCATAAAATGCGATGAAAGTAAAAATATTGTAGTCCTTCTTTTGCCGCTCAGTTTAAAAAAGCATTGGTCTTCAGTACGGTTCGCGTGTCTGTGGGTATGGTACGCATCAGATCAACTGTACCAAAACACAGAAATAGACTGCTATTTATCTGATTACTTGTGATCATTATTTGGTTAATGAGCAGGCTTTTTACCATTTAGTTTTTTTTTCTTTCTACAGCATTGCACCTATGTAAAAAGCTCTGCTGGAAAATGAAAGTGAAACTTCAGTTCTGCCTGGCATCGTTTCCTTGCCATCTTTCTTTACATTTACTCCTTTCTGTTACTTTAGTAGTTTATATTGAGATTCAACTCAACAGTCCTCAAAAACATGAGCCTGTTCATTGAACATGCACAACACTGTTAATCTAATCCTCTGAACTGCTCGTTTCTCCTAAACCTAAGAAAGCATTTTTTTTAGACCACGGACTGAGAACGTGTAGGCGAGGCAAAACGTGACAGTGACAAGGTGGACTAGTATGTGTATTACAGATGACGTAATACTGGGTAGAAACTGCAGATAAAAACAAACCTGGGCCCTGTGTACTTAGTTCCACTATTTCCCTCACTACTGCCCCTGTATCATAACACACACTGTGCTTTTATTATTGATACTTCAGCTATTGATATTTCTATACTTTCACTTTAGTCAAATTTTGAATGCAGAATATTTTTACATTGGGGTTGGTCAACACCTTTTCTTTTCCACATTAATAATAATTTAGACAGATATTTACAGTATGCGAGAAGGCATAAATAGACAGACTGGTGTTGTTGCTCTGCCTCCTCTTGTGTTTTTAGTCTCTCTCTCTCTCTTGTTTTGTTTTTTTAATACACATTTTGCTTGCAACTCTGAACTGCGCCCTCACACTCAAGTTTCCCTGAGTCGCCCTGCTTTTATAAAAGAACAATGTGGCCAGAGTTAATGATAGCTTGTACAAATTGCACTGTGACTGTGGCCTGGCTGCAGACAATAATTGGTGCATTATGTGAGAATGAAGCTCCTAATGAAGCATTAGTTTGACCGTAGGCTCCCGGGGACATTCCTTCGGAGGAGAGCTTTGTCATGGTTTGTGCTAAATGGTTACAAATCTCAGCTTTCCTTTGAAGACTAATATGCGACGCA